GAATCTGGAGAGCCGAGGGGACTGTCCCCGCCTGACTAAAGCTCGGCATCACGCAGCTCAGGACATCAGGGTCGTAAAGGCTGTGAAGAAGCAGCAAGGTGCCATTCGAATAATCGAGTCAAACCAGCGAAGTCAGAAAGAGTGGGAATTATGCTTCGAGAGACTCTGAACGTGGAGCTCCCCGCAACGATAGCCCACAGATAGGGCAACGCAGGTCCCATCACTCCCTGGACGGAGGATGAAGTCCCCCGTGAGCTAGGGAGAATGAAGAGGAGAAGCAGTGGGTCCAGACGGGTACCCATGGAGGCATGGAAGGCCCTGGGAGAGCCTGGGTGAGTTAGCTAACAGCCTTCCTAAACAATGTAACGGCAGAAGGAAGGATGCCAGATGCCCGTAGGAGCAGCACAATCGCCCCCCTCTCCGAACAGAAAGGGGACGCGATCGAGTGCTCCAAACTCACGCGGAATAAAGTTGACTCCCCATACCATGAACTGTACGAGCTCCTGGTCAACACTAAGCTGAGGGAGCTTGTCCCTATCTCGCCGGAACAGTTCCGAAAGGTCCACACTGATGCCATCTTCGTTGCCAGAGCAGCTGATGGAAAAGTACCGAGAGAACGCCGTCCTGCTGTCTGGCCTCCTGGACCTTGAGAACGCATTCGACCTCCTACCTCGCATTTACTCCTGGAGAGCGTTCAGAGACGTAACGTTTCGGAGCACCTGGTCTCCATAGTGAAGGATATGTACGATAGGGCTAAAGCAGCTGTACACCCCTCACGGCTTGACGAAGGAAGTAAACATCACGGTTGGGTAATACCAAGGGATGAGCTTCAGCCCGTTCCTCTTCCTTCTGACTTTCGATTGTCATGGCAAAATAACTCACGGAGGACCACTGAAAACCATCCTCTACGCTGACGACATGGCCCGGTCAGCGGACAGCAGGAAAGAACTCCGGGACAAGGTGCAGCGGTGGCAGGATGTGCTCGCTGAGAGTGGACTCCGGCTGAACGTGAAGAAGACCAAGTTCATGAGCTACGAAAAAGTGTAACGAACCCATCATAGACTGCCATGGCGAGAGGCATCGAAAGGGTTGAGGACTCCCAGTACCTGGGGACCAACCTAGCAGCTGATGGCAGCGTGATCAGGCGTGAAAGCCCGAACCAACGCAGCCTGGATGAAATTGAGGGAGTCCACGGCATCCTGTGCGACCCGATGCTGTTCGAGAACGCTCAAGAGCCAGGTGCACCAGACCGATAAGTAAGGCGCAGTGCTCTACGCAGTGAGTGCGCTCTGCCAAGAACCATGAAAGGCAGCTCCACTCAGCTGAAATGAGGATGCTGAGAATGGACCTGGCGGCTGGACACGACTCGACAGAGTCAGAAACGAGGACGTCATGGCTGTACCACAGAACGCTCCAATCAGCTGAAGGCACGAGAGCAGCGTCTGCGATGGTATGGGCACGCGCTGAGAAAGCCTGAGAACCACCTGAAAAGGAAAAAATTAGACTTTGAAGTGGATGGCTAGCGACCACGAGGGACCCCAAAGAAAGGATGGAGCGACGTCATCAAGAAGGGTCTCAACTGAAGTGAAAGCCACGACAGAAGATGCAGTGGATCGGAGAAAATGGCGACGTCTGATACCAATAGCGGAACCCTGCCGACGGCGCGGGACTAACGCTAGGGAGGAGAAGGAAGCAGCAAAAGTTTGCCAGGATAAGCCGCATCACTCACCGCCAGGCCTGATTCCAAGACCATGTGTGTCGACGCAGCCAAGTTCAGTAGAATTAAATGAGGCAAATATCAATTAATGGATTGCCGTAAGAGCACTGAATGCGTCAGGTCAAATGAATGTGTGCTAGCGTCAAAGTTAAGATCGCTCTCCGCCACTTTCACCGAAGAAACGGTAGGGACCCTCCAATCATCAACGGCGGGAGTGTTCGGATCTGTTTGAGTATGATAAACTGCTTTCGTTTCAGTTTGGTAAAGGCCACAAAGCGTGCAACGAAAGTTGTTACAAGAGTGCTGAGTTATGGGCAAAAGGCAGACCTTGGACGGGACTCGAACCCGCATACCGCTTACCCGGTGATTACCTTATACATTACTCACCGAGGCCACTCTCCAACTCAGCACAATGGCATTTTGTGCCAGGACCCTCACGCACACGTCTAACGTAATGAGTGTTCAGATCACCAAAAAAACGCCTAATGAGTGTTCAGATCACCAAGAAAACGCCTATCATACTTGACAATATTGGATTACGAGTCTTCAAGACCGCTTCCGTCGAACCCCCTCCCTGATTGGTGAATTGGACGTTGTCCCCACCGTTCCACAGTTGTCAGTGAAAATGGCGGAGAGCGACCTCTACTTTGACTCTTTGATTCTTTGATCTGAACGGCGGCTGTTTTATAATAGAACACTCACCATTTAACCTTGGCACATTCCGCGTTCTTTCGCAGAACTCTTGATTCTCCAACACTACGACATATGTACTAATACTTGTCTCGTTAATGCTATTGAACTTGGCAGCGGAGTAGACGCAGGTGGACTTGAAATCAACGAAATCAGCCCGTAAGCGGTGGTGGTGGCGTTCACCCAGTCGAATAGATGTCGACTATAGTGTAGCGGTCTTTAAAGAACGTCTGCGGCCTAACTGTTGCGAATGCGATAGTACTATGCTTCCAGAAACTTTCAAATACTCAAAAAATGCGCACCTCCATGCCGACATTTTTATGTTCACGCAGCTCTGTTTTTGTGCCCGAGGTTCTAGTCCTCTTTTGAAACACAGCAAAGAGCTGGCTTTGTTCTGGACCCGAAAATAATGAATAATGTCTTGGAACTTCTCGAAACTCGAAAAATGTGATCAGTACGACAGCTGAACTTATTCGTTGCGTAACTATTGCGGATCCTGCACCATACTCAGAGCCGAATACTGCTGCTTATTGGTAACAATGATCGGTAGAAGATACTAAGATTTAGGAATCGTTAGATGAGAAAAAAGTTATGAGCGAAAAACCTTTCCACAAATACTTCTGAGTACTTCCATTTACTTCCTGACTAACCATGACTGTTCTTTGCCGCAGTGTTAGACATTAGACTGCCAAAGAAGAATTTTCCGATAAGTTCCATTTAATGTAGAAGGATGCCGGGCATCGCGGGTATACCTGAGAATATTCTAGAACATTCCAGGACTACGCCTCTATGGGGTATATAAAATGTTTTACTTTCATTAAGCATTAACCATGGCTGAAATTTCCAACACCAATATTCGAGCAACATTTTTCCACGAGTGGCGCCATGAAAGTGATCAACCGCTGTCGCCCGAAAGGTCAACGTCTCATTTGGTGAAGGAACGACTACCGATCGTATCGTACGCAATTGGTACAAAGGCTTCGAGGGTGGAGAGGCGGACATGGAAGATCGACATTGCAGTGGACTTCCTTCAGTGCTCGAAGATTCGGCATTGCTCGCGCCATTAAAGACAGCTCCCGCGATAACAGTGTCATGGACAGTTGCTTTTCAGTATGAAAAAGTAGCTGATAAGTAGTTACCCAAAGAAGAAAGAAAGCAAGAGAAAGTCCTCAAGAACACTATAAACAAAACACTAAAACACTATTCAATGACCATCCTTCCTGCGGTCTCCGTGCAACCCCCTGCTCACATATTCCTTTATCACATCTCCCAGTAGTGGTATCCAATGCAAGTGAAAGAATACGAACAACAAAAAAACACGGAAGAAAAACTCTTGAAAGAGAAGAGACCTTCAAAACCAGGCCGTCTGAATTGCGGTTACAGTAGCGTGCATCTTTTAGTGCGCCGAGCTTTTGCAGTACGAAAATTGGATCGCTCGTGATTTCTACGCGTTTTACCTTGCAAGATGGGTTGGTTGACTGCATGTGCTCCTAATATTAGTTGTTCGGAATGGAATGCGCGTTTGAGTGTAAAAATTTTTTTATTATAAAACGAAATAAACAAGGTCAATCTAAAAGATAATCTTCATTCTATAGCAAATGACTTGTTGCCAACTGTACGCAAAAACTTCGCCAAAAAGAGCCTCTTTCACTAATTTTCCCCTCGGGTGTGTCGTTAGGTCCGCCGGAGAGGAATGTAGGTCAAAAGAGCCTCTTTTCCCAGTATTCTCGCCGAGTGCGTCGCTAGGTCCGCCGCTGCTCCTGTGAGCCGAGTGGGTCATTAGGTCCACCCAACTGCGTCGTTAGGACTTGCTTGAAGTCTTACCACATACAAGCTCGCATTCCAATTTTTTGGTCGAGCATTTTCTAAACTTTTTTCTCTAAAAAAAACAAGGTAGACATAGAAAAAAATATACCAAAAGATGCACAAAAAAAACCTCTCTCTAATGGACAGAACGTTTTGAAAAATCTCCTATAGTAGAAGAAAAATAAATAGACAAATTCAACGCGCGTTCCTTTCACAACAACCTAATATAAAAAATGGAATGAAGAGAGCAGAAGCATTCATGGGCACAAGCGCGTCAGCAAAAAGGGCGATGGCATCCCT